TCTTTTCTCTTATGACACATTAATATGATGAACTATATTTAGTTGTATCATCACCACAATAGAGTTGCAGATAATAGAAGCCAATGTCATGATTTTAAGAAAGTATTACAATCAGGAGTCCAGTCTAGGTTGGCCTCCAGACCCTCCCAGAACAATTGTGCAGAACTGACCCTACAAAGCCGCTGCTACCTTAGGCATCCCAGGGAGCAGGGGAATCAGGACGTCTCTGAGCGTGTTGGTGGCTTCTGGGGAGGCTGTGAACATGCATTGCACTCCGATGACTTGAGGAAATCACCATTTAAGCTGAAGTCTGAATAACAGACCACCCCCTTCGTAATTGTTGGTCTTACCAGCTAACGTCAAAAGTGTTAGTCATACTGTGTCTCTGCCATGGGGAACGTGTAATGTGTACACATAGACACATGGGCTGTTCAGCCTCTTCAATGCAGACAAGCTCACTCAGAAGAAGCTGACATGCAACTTGAATGAAAACCCTATCATATTTGCTGTGATTCTAACAGTGAGCCACACTTGCACATTTGGATCATGGTGTACTGCATTTATAAAATACACTGAATTATATTTTTATATGTAATTGTATAAAGTGTTAATATTCATAAGTAAAGTTGGTTTATACCTTTCCATAATTGTTGTTCTCTTTGTAAATTTTTTAAGTATAGTTAAAATAATTGTGACAGTACACCCTAATACGGATGCCTTAAGAATCCCCCGCTCTTAGGTCAATGTCAGTTTCTTTTATATGGTTCACTTACTTTTGCTGCTATGATATTACAGGCACTAGTCTATCTTTTTATATCTTACCTTTTTGAGTCACATTGTTTTAGATATGTTTCTTACATGTAATACATATTGGGCATTGCTTTTTAATGCAACCAGAGCCTACAGTACTTTCAGTAGATTAAAATTTATATCATTTTTCTACTGAACTAACAGAATTGGTCTCTCTAAGTGTCTTCTTATATAACTTTCTTCTTAATGTTTTTTGTCTTTTTTCTCTGTGGATATGCACTCTTTAGGATATATGGGATACGTGTATTTGTGTGTGATTTCCTTCTTATATTTCAGAAGATCTAGTCTCCTGATGATTTTTCAATAATTAATTTTACTTTTATAGTACACCTAACTCTCTAATGCAGCAGTTCTCAACCTGTGAGTCGAGACCCTTTGGGGATCGAACGACCCTTTCACAGGGGTCGCCTAAGACCATCAGAAAACACATATATAATTACATATTGTTTTTGTGATTAATCACTATGCTTTAATTATGTTCAATTTGTAACAATGAAAATACATCTTGCATATCAGATATTTATATTATGATTCATAACAGTAGCAAAATTACAGTTATGAAGTAGCAACGAAAATAATTTTATGGTTGGGGGTCACCACAACATGAGGAACTGTATTAAAGGGTCACGGCATTAGGAAGGTTGAGAACCACTGCTCTAATGCATCTTTGTACAACATGTAAGTGCAGGTAAAAAAAACAAAACAAACAAAAAATACCCACTTTACATCTCCTATCATGTCCCCTATTTCTTCTCCCTTTTTGTATTTATTATTGTTACTATTATTAGTATATTCTTATTATTACTTCTTCTACCAATGTACCCTATGCCTTAGTCTTTTCCATTCTAGGTGTATCTAAGTTAAGCTGAAGCTATTAGCTGACTATTTAAAAATATGTAAGGAAATTTGCACGTTCTTTCTCACTTCCTTTATCACCCACAGCCAGGTTTTGTTTTTGCCACATTTACTTTTATGTTGTCAGAGTTCCTGATATTTACTAACTGCAAGCATTTCCCAGAAGAAGTTTAGACCATGTTCTATTTTTAAGTGAATTCAATGCTTACCATCAGTTCTGCGTCTGTGCTTTCACCTTTCATATCCAGTTTTGTTGTCAAGTTGTTGTTTTTTTCACAAGATTATCTCATGTTCCTTTCCCCAAAAAAAGTAAATAGCCAAAACATGTGTTTGAGCAAAAAAATTCAAATGTTCACCAAACACGAAAAAGATGCTTCATATCACTAATAATCAAAAGACTATCAAGTAACACTGTAATAACATTATCTTATTTCCTATTGTGATAGAGTTTGCTAGTTGGCTACCTGAGTATCTATTCTCCTCTTCATCTATACCAGTAAAATCTTGCATTTTAGTTGAGTGCCATTGAGAAAAAACAAAACTGAAATTCCCAACATCACTTGCAACTAAATACATTCATGTGGTGTTCTGCCCAATGAGGTGCAATTGGGAGCTTAATGTGGAATTTCTGGGAGTGCTTCTGAAAGCAGGTCAAATCATCTAGAAGGGTCCCCTTGCTGTCCGTCTGTTTTCCCTCCTTCTTCCAATTTGCAATGCCAAGGTGATGGCTAGAGCTCTCTAGCAGACTTCCCTGTACTATAATTTACCTTGAAGTAGAAAAGCCATGTGCTAGAATTGTGAAAATGAACAGTAGGAGTTGGAGACCATTAGCATATAGTAGACTATTTCTAAATTTTTAATACTAGACTTTATACAATTTTATATTGTTTGAACCAATCGAATTTGGGTATTTCTGTTATGTGCAACTGGATATATTTTACTGACAGGCTAATTATGTTGAAAAGATGTTTTAAATGTGTTGGCAAGAGTGCTGGAGAATAGGCAAACTCCTACATGATGAGTAAGAGTCAGTGAGAAATGTTGTACCCCATATGTAAATGCCACAGATGCAATGCGTTCACTCCCTGGAAAATGCTGTGGGAAGTTTTGATACTCCCATACAATTAAATACTCTGAGGATCCCAGTTATCTGGCTTTAGGTATAAAGTTTTCTGAGCAGAATAGGGATGCCCCCCTCAAATAGGAAGCGGCCCATAGCATCCCTCCGTCTCTGGTTTCCTCACTCAGAACACTAGCACACACCCTGTGCCCTAAAGTGGATGCTGGCTGGATGCCGGTCAACACAGTCTTGTATGAGTTAAGAATGGCTGGTTAGTCGATAAAAGATGCCAAATTAGTTCAAAATAACTTCACGGATATGAGTAATACTACTTCACAACATTCAGCAAATGTGTGTGAGTGCCTACCATGCGTCACAGTAATTCTACAAGCTTGGGAAAGGAATGATGGATGAGACAGAGCCCTGATTAGCCAGAAGAGAACTTCTGACTTCTCTGAGCTGCACTTCTCTCTTGATGTGCTAGATGTTTTCTATGCATTGACTCATTTCAATTTACTAAGCATGCTGTGAGTGGACGAGTGTTTGCTTTGTCTTAATTTGTGAACTTCCTTTCAAGGAGTTTACTTAAATAACAGAATGAGTCCCTGGAAGCAGTCAAGATGAGGGACATAATCACAGCAGCAGACACCGGGAAATGACCCCAAAGTGATGGTTTTGTCCACCCACCGTCCTTCTCCTCCAATGCCCTCCACCCTAGTCTCTGTCTTTCAGGTCTTATAGCAGTGCCTCCACCTGCACAGCCTCTCCTGGTCTCGGACACCAAAGGAACAGAGGGTCTCCTTTAGAAGCCTCACACTGACCAGTTTGTATGTCTCGTGTCCTGTAGTTTATTCAATTATGGCTATTTGTACGTTTGAGTGTCTATCTGATAGTTAATAAATTCCTTGAAAGTGCTTTGGATCCCACCTCAGAACCTGACTTTGCATCTCGCATAAAGAACATGTTCAGCTCAGCCGGCTTGGCTCAGTGGTTGACTGTTAACTATGAACCAGGAGGTCACAGGAGGTTCGATTTCCGGTCAGGGCATATGCCTGGGTTTTGGGCTTGATCCCCAGTGTGGGGCATGCAAGAGGTAGCCAATCAATGATTCTCTCTCATCATTGATGTTTCTCTATCTCCCATCCTCTCTGAAATCAAGAAATATATTTTTTTAAAAAGAATGCGTTCAAATAATATGTGATGAAATGAATGGAATTGAACTTTTCCACATCAGATTATTGAGGGTGTGGTAACATCTATTTACCAATTTTACCCATGTCACTAAAATTTGATAATAAAGATAACAGCATCTTTCCAAGAAGTATACTTTTCAGTGAGAGGAGATTATTCTGCATGAATTTTAACAATTAGCAGCTTTTTTCAGTTTACAATGTTAATTGGATTTTTGATGAAACAGTAAATGAAACAGCATCAAATCCTATGTGTTTAGTTATCTCACACTTGTTATTTCCAGTGCGAATGCAAACTAAATGTCAGCAACACATTTTTTAGAGGCTGCAATTATTTTTTCACCCAATAGCACATCACAGGTTTACAAATCGGGATGGCATCACGTTCCTCTTTCTCAGAGGTGTGTTTTGCCTGTATCTCATAGAGTCTGACAGAATGTCAAAATGTTACAAGAGAGTAACATAGTTTGAGCAGTTGTGATCCAATCTATTTCACTGCTTTACATTTTTTAGGGAGCAAAAACAATTTGGAGATAGTAAGAAAACATATTATTCTGTTCAAAGCCTAATATTGGCCTACACTGCAAATGTTTGAACCATTTGGGGACTATTTTAGTAAGCCAGACAGCTATTCAGCAGAACATACCCTCTGCTTGAATTTCATAGTTAGTACAAGGCACCTCCCTTCTTTATCATTTTTCAGTGTGAATTACTACAAAGAATCTGCATAGCAAGTGCTAAGGCAGATTAATCCCATTATATTAAAAAGTTTGGTTGTCAAGAAAGCCTGCCCCAGACCCTGCAGCAGACACAGCAGCCGGTAGCAATGTGGGCTGCCAATCCTTCTACACAATATGGTGGGAACACAACAAACGCCCGTCTGCCACAATAGAACGGTCACAAAGAACCCACACACCTGGGACGCAAACACAGCTATTTTTTCTTACTCTTTTTGTATTTTTATCCTTTTTTCTTACTCAAATTTTCTTTTTCTTTGTTTTCTCTATCTTCCAATTCTCAACCTAACTTTTCTCTTTTTCATTTCCTTCCTCCTACTCTAAGTCTGTCTGCAATTATAAATCCCATTATTCATCTTTCCATTTATCTATCTTTTCATTAAAGCTTTCTTCCACACAAACATCATGCAGCCAAAGAGTAAGTTGGGATCATAGTACTGGTCTAGTGTTGTCTCATTGGACATAATTTACCACTGGCCAGCCTCCAAATTCCCATACAAAACTTAAAAAAAAATAAAGCTTTCTTCCAGCCAATGAGATGTTCCTGGTCTAACCAAAATCACTTGAACAAGCTCACACATGGGGAAAGGCGCCATTCCTGTGGCCTGCAAACGGGTCGCTACCTGAGGGAATGGCCTGGGCAGTCTTATCTCATTATTTCTATATTTCCAAAGCAGACTGGTAAGAACCATAGTAGGAAGATCTTATAAGAGCTAGGGAAGCCAGTGAATATTGTTAAACACTCTGGTAGCATGATCAAGTTTATATTTAGAAGTTTCAATACATTAGCGATGTCCAAATAAATTACGGGTGTTACAGTGACAAGCAGGAAGATATAGGTACACTATTTAAAATACTTTTACATTAAAGAGAATAGTCAAGTTTCTAAGCTGAGGCAACAGTGGTCAGGATAAGGAGGGCAGAGGCTTGACTTGGTATTTGCTGGTTTTAGTGAATGGGAATAACCCTGACCAGTTTGGCTCAGTGGATAGAGCGTCGGCCTGCGGACTGAAGGGTCCCAGGTGTGATTCCAGTCAGGGGCATGTACCTTGGTTGCGGGCACATTCCCAGTAGGGGGTGTGCAGGAGGCAGCTGATCGATGTTTCTCTCTCATCCATGTTTCTAACTCTCTATGCCTCTCCCTTCCTCTCTGTAAAAAATCAATAAAACATATATTTTTTAAAAATGAGTGGGAATAAAAGAGAGTACTGAGGACTCACGGAGGTGACTATGAGAATTAAATCACTGGAAAAGTAGAGAGAGATTTTTCGTTTCCCCTGGGATCATGATGAAAAAGAACCCTAGGCCATAGTTCCCCAATCAAGCATAAACTATGTTCAAGCCCTATAAACAGTAATTACACAAGACCAATGGGACCATGTCTAAAACAATGAAGAGCCAAGGTTACTCTGCAAGCACAAAAAATATCCAAATATCCCCCTATGGGAGTGGCTACTCTTGACCAATGTCAACTTTAACCTCTCTTTAATCATCCTGCTTCCCAGGTAAAAATTTCCCGGCTATCCAACCTCTCACTTGCTTTCTGAGAGCGCATAGTTCAGAAGTGTTTCCCACAGTGCCTCTGGTGTGCATTCTCCCATGCCACAGCAAACTAGATAAATCTAATTGTGTTTGGCTACAAGTATATTCCTGTGGCCTGGTCTTTGTCTGCTGGACATCAATAAAAACATCTAGTTGAAGATCCTTGATAAAGTTGCAGGATATGTGGGAAGGAACACATCAGAGAGGGCTCGATATACAGGTGATCTTTGACACAACAGAATCTAATGAGATTTCCCACAGAGAGAATGTAGAGAGTCCCACATATTTCAGGGGATCGGTAGAGGAGAGGTGAAGAAAAAGAATTTTAAAAGATTCTCAATGTCAGATATACAGGAAAAGAGAATGTTCTGAGAAAGAAGGAGTCCTTCAGAAAATGTCAAATGATACAGAAATAGTTGAAGGGAATAAGCACTGAAATAAATTCGATCAATAAGCCAATTGGAAGAGCAGGGCAGCCGCCAGGAGCCGTCCTTTCCTTGGGATAGTTACAAAGTCTATTAGCAAATGCAAATGCATGAAACAAAGGACAAAGCGATAATAATTATAAAAACAACATTATAGTAATAGTAACAGTTAACATGTGGGAAGTACTTACTGCGTCCTAGGCACTCTTAAAAGAGCTGCACATGTTTTACCTTATTTAGATTTTGCACAATAACCTCATGAGCAGGGACTATATTCACCGCCACTTTAGTGATAAGGAAACAGAGTGGTAAAGTAACTTGTCCAAGGCTGCACAGCGAGTAAGTAGAAGAGCTGACATCTGCTCCACAGGAGCCTCCCACAGCAATGAGAGCTGTGAAAGAGAGATCATGGAGGGGTTTTCAGAACGCATGCGAGGGACATATCCAGACTGGCATTGACATAAGTGAAAGGCACACAGTCAGAGAAGCAGTAAGATGCTCCCCTATTATTCCTTTACAAATTAAAAAGGCCATGATTTCTTGTAACACTAAAAATTCTTCCCTGTAATGAAGAACTTGGCTTGGTTGACTTTTCTTGTGTAAATGACAGGTCAAAACCTTTCCATTCTAGCTAATGGATGCAGATTCAGCAGACCCAAAGATTTCTGGAGGATAATGATGAGGTGCCGGACTCTGTTCGCTGGAGTTACTGCCTGGAGGTTTTAACTGCCAGGCCATCGTTTAATAACTGGGACAGCAGGGGCAGTTCAGTTATTTTTAACCTGCCATCTTGACTCATTTCAAACCTTTTTAATCAGAAGTTTCCCGAAGTGTTACAGCATTCTAAAAAACGCCAGCAGAAGGGCGGGAGTTGGGGCGGGCTGGGGCATCAATGGACAGACTGTTCCCAGCAGAAGAGTAAACTGACCCGCGTGAACGCAATAAACAACTGGAACTTGCAGGTTTCAAAGAGGCAGAAGGTAAGTGCCAGCCAAGAGCTGTTTAACTTTCCCGTCATTTCTGCAGGTTTAATGAGAGGGGAAAAGACAAGGACATGGCCAGTGTTTGCAGGTGGATGTCAAGACTGACAGTGTGGGCTGGTTTCCCTGAGTCTTTCCAGATGGATTATTTTACATCTTCTACTGCTCTTGGACGGGAAGACGTGGGACGACGTGTTTCTGGCTTTCAGAGCTTTCACCTCCAATCAGACTGAATAACAAGCAAAGCATTTTTCCATATACAAAACACAAAGAACACTCTTTTCCACCCAGGAGGAGACAGTCTAGAAAGGGACACATATATAACAATGACAGGTGCTGAAACCGGTTTGGCTCAGTGGATAGAGCATCGGCCTGAGGACTGAAAGGTCCCGGGTTCGATTCCGGTCAAGGGCATGTACCTGGGTTGCGGGCACATCCCCAGTAGGAGATGTGCAGGAGGCAGCTGATCGATGTTTCTAACTCTCTATCTCTCTCCCTTCCTCTCTGTAAAGAATCAATAAAATATATTTTTTTAAAAAATTGTCATTCATTTAAAAAAAAACAACAAACAATGACAGGCAAAGAAAAGACCTCCTTCAGTGGCTCATTCATTTGTTCATTCACTAATTCATTTGAACACTCACTGAATGTCTGCATTGTACAGGGCACTGGAACATGGAGGTCAATGAACCCCAGCCCTGTCCCCAGGAAGCACATGGTCAGATGGGGAAGAATAATGTATAAGCAGATGGTTGCAAGGCAGGGTGGAAGGTGGAGGGCACAGGGAATAGCAGAGCACAGCGCAGAGGTCATGAACCCAGCCTTGGCGTGTTAGGTTGCTTCCCAGAGGAAGGAAGCTTTGATTTATAGTTTAAGTTGGGGGTAGTTGGCTGAAGAAAGGGAGACAGTATCCCAGAAAGAGAAATCAGTGCGTAGAAAGGCGCTGTCAATGGACTGCCAGTAGCTGGGTAGAATGCAAGGATGATGCCTCGGTATCATTCCCTTCACCTTTGGTGGCTTCCATATATCTAGTTTGCTGCTGCTTCTTATGGAAATTCTCATTGACTCACTTTCCCTAGAGCAAGCATTTCTCAAGGATGTCTTTTCCACAACCGTGTGTGTGTGTGTGTGTGTGTGTGTGTGTGTGTGTGTGTGTAACTAAAACACTGACCTTAAGAAAGAAGAAAATAAAAATAAAAACAGAGAGTAACATTTATCGGGCACCTAATATGGACTGTGATCCTGGAAGTTTATGTAATTATCCAATACTCATGACTTCATTCATTAATTCACTCATGTGCTAAACTTAGTACTGTCTAAATACAGAATGCAAAAATGGGCATATATAAAAAACAAAGTTGGTTTAGTGTAATACATATAGAAATATGTTAACACTATAAAGATTATTCAAAGGAATGAGGGCATGAGGGTGGGTTAAGAAGAGGAGATATTTAAGCTAGATTTCATAGATGAATAGAAAATAACCAGGCCAGCTGGAGGCATATGGAAATGCCACGTAGAGAGAATTTTTAGGCTTAGGGATAGGCACATACAAAGCAATCAGTTCACCTGGTGAGGTCAATCAAACTAACAGAAATAGAGAAAAAATTAGTGTTGCAAGCAATCGCTAGATTTGAAAAAGCTTGCGTATCATAAAAAGCCAACTAAACTTTACTGTAAGCTTTATAGTTACAGTGGGGGACTGGGAAATGCATCACACTGGGAAGAATCCAATCTTGAATAGGCGAGAAATGAATTAGAAAAGAGTGTGAGACCAGAGGAAGGGGAACCGACTAGAAGGTCATTCCAATTTGCCAAGATATGGTGAGTGCCTGCTTTAAGGTAATGGTATAAACAATTGGAAATTAGATGTGAGGGATGGAAAACAGGGAGGAGTCAAGGATGACTAAAACAGGGAGGAGTCAAGGATGACTTCTGAGTTTTGGGCTCCGGAGACAAAGTGAAGCTGTATACACACACACACACACACACACACACACACACACACACACCACCCCGCTCCTTTCTCTTTTCCCACAAGAACAGTGACATGCAGAGAAGTTAATTAATTTACCTAAATCATGTAACTATTCAGTGACCAATTTGGGATTCAAACTTGACAAAAATCAAGCTCCCTCCCAGGTGTTTGGTAAGATGGGTGTTCTAGAGTTAGGGGGTAGGCACAGAGTGAGAGAAGAAATGCCAAACTACAACCTCATCCGACCATCTGAAGAATACAGGGCTGAATAAAAATCATAAAAGATGGAATGGGAAGTGAAAAAGCACCTGGAGATGGCTCATTCGTTTCATTACCTATGTTTACAGTTTGGATTTCTCTGAATCACCCACCAGTGGTCTAACAAATCTTTTCTGTTTTGACCCTCCTCATCCTTAAGCCTCTCATCACAGCATTAATCCATGTCACCTTGAATTTAAAATATAATTAGAAATAACTCACACTAACAACTTCCTTGAATGCATTAAATAATGAAAGTGGTATCATCTTTCCCCTGCTATGTGAACCATCTGTCCTCCCCTAGTCTTCCTCCCCTTCT